CTTTCCCTCGTCCACTAGGCGGGTCACCTGGTCATAGAAGGAGATCTATCACTTATTCCTCCTGAGGGTATTCCTAGGCAGGGGAAGGAAAGGTGGGCTGCCTGTCAGCAGGGTGGCCTTTTGCTGCTCAGGCCCATGAGCTGAGTGGAGGCAGCTGTGTTGGTGGGGCCTGTTGCACTGGGGAAAGTAGACAAAAGTTTCCACAGCAGAGTTTTTCCTGAGGTACCAATGTTGGTGGAGAGTGGGGTGTAATTTTACATCGTTACTCCTGTATTGTTTTACATTTTATTGCAGAAGCTTCCCTTTTGTTTGCCTGCTGTCACCTTCTGGTTCCTTTCTTTGGTAAAAGCTTCTCTGTTTGAGCAAGGCTTTTGTATCTCACCAGGTAATAAGCACCTCTCTCCTGTAATCCAGGCTTCAGGGGAGGCAAAAAAAAAAAATGCCCCACAGAAAACCTAAGAGATTACATGGAAGGTCTTCTGAAGACACCACTGAATAGATGTTTGTGATAGAGGTAGTTCTCTAAACATGTTGTGCTCTTTCCAAGTATACCAGGAGGAAGTATGCCTCATTGGCTGGGGACATTCATGGTTCTATTGAAAGATGGAAGAATGACTAAACAGAACACTTTATTTAAACAAACAAAAAGGAAAAAAGAAAAAAAAAATTACCTCTGGCTCCTGGGTACCAGAAGCAATACTGTTTGCTTTGATCCTTTATTTGCACAGTAGGTAGTCATTTTAATCTCTCTGATTCCAATTATAGTGGCAAGTACATGTTGCCCATTTCACTTCTGTTGTTGGGTTTTCTGTTCCAAGTATTGTAGTCCATGTAGGATTGCCTGGAAATGCTAAGTTTGTTCTTGAGGTAAATTCATTGCTGTCGCTTTTGAGTAGGGTTTTGGCCCATATCTGATTGAAGAGAGAACAGCACAGTGGTGTGCTGTGCATGATGAGGAAATAACTAGGGCAACCTTTACATCTCATCTAAGCCTCTGGCAGAGGATTCTTGTACTTCAGCATGCCCGTCTGTTTCTTTAAACTTGCACACTTAAGCACAAGGATGGAGTTTTTTTCAATTACACCTCTAATCTGATCTGTGCTGTTGGATCACTTTCTAAATGAGCATGATAAATCTATGTAGTAATGGTGCTCTTTTTTTCCCCACTTATGGCATCACTTTCCCTTTATTTTCATGGAAAGACTTAACAGCATAAGGGAGTTGAAGCTGAACATACAGCCATTCAGCAGATCCATACGATAAGTAATGGAACATTTTACTTATGGCAAATATCACTTGGAGATATGTGGCAGTTAGAGATGTAGCTGATGAACTTCAGCTTTCTTGTCTCTCCTTCCCTTCTTGGTCTCTAACCTTGCTAATAAGCTTATAAAAACAAGCATAGTAAGTTTGGTTTCCTGTCTTATTCTAATTCTCTTGCATAAACATATCCACAAACTAAAGGCAAAATTCCTATGGATGTTTTAGT